GTGCCCAGCCATATTGGAATCCCCGGCAATGAACAGGCAGATACACTAGCACGCCACGCCGCTATGTCCACATCATACCAACCACGCTTCTCACGTATCCCAGCCACGGATTATTACCCACACTTTAAGACCTTCTTGTATAATCGATGGCAATCTTTTTGGTCAAGTCTACGCACTAATAAATTACATTCTGTAAAACTATCAATCTCCTCCTGGTCAGCTCCATTTCATCGGAACAGACGTTGGGAGACCGCTCTCGCCCGCTTACGCATTGGCCACACCCGTCTAACACACTCCTATCTGATGTCACAATCTGATCCACCCCTATGTTCCTTATGTAATGTTCCCCTTTCAATCCCACACATCCTACTGTCGTGCCTACGTTTTGAAGCAGCCCGTACCTCTGCTTTCCCCCACCTATCCTCCCTTCACCGGCCTCCCAACCTATCAGACATCCTTACAGAATCCCACACTTTCTGCTTCAACAACCTGTTCTCTTTCCTCAAACGCATACATATCCTTCATCTAATCTAACTCCTCACCACACCCGACCTTAACCCTTTCACTCACCAATTCCTTTGCTCAGCTTAGACAACTAATCAGTAACTCAACCACCCTTCACTAACATTAACTATAGTGCTACATGACCTTAGATGTCTAGCACATTTATCTTGCTTTTTAACCATTAACCATTACATTTTTTCATACATCATTTAAATAGAATGTAACGTCTTTTTACATTAAACTCCATTACCATTACATTGTAATTATGACGCGAGTGAAGAGACACACATATACGCCCATACATACTACTCACTAAGCGAAGTAGATTTCATTTGTTTACTTAAATCACACAGACGACACAGTGGCTTTATTTACCATTTTCCAGCTCTGGCACTCCACAAGGAATGCTACAGAGACAACGCTTCAAAACTGATGTCAAACATATTGCTAAAACTTGATTGTGAGTGTTTACTTAGAGTGATATCATTATTACAATTATTTTATTTATTTTTCTAATAATTTGTAAACATCATCACTAATCTTATTATTGATAACACAATCGTTATCCCTAATTCACTTTACTTATACCCCTATCGTTTTCTGTTTATCCTTTTCTCTCAATCCGATAGCATTTACTTTTACTCTGTTTCGTGTTGATGGAAGTATAATTTCAGTTAATTTCTGTATACAATTATAAGAAGACCTGTTAAAAGTGATCAAGAAATGCGTAACATATTTGGCATACATAACAAAATGCCAGGCGGTCACCCATCCAAGTACTGACTAAACCCAATGTTGCTTAACTTCGCTGATCGGACGAGAAGCGGTGCTGTCAACGTGGTATAATCGTTGACATAAAATGTGTGAACGTCAGCCAGTTTTCTCTTGGTGCTCATCATTTTATCATACATTCTAATATAATGTATATTTTACTTTTACATCAGACTTCACTACCATGACATTCTGGAGATCTGCTCCATGTATGCATCAGTCATAATCGACCTCTATCGGGAGCATAGGCAATTCTAACTCTGCTGTCACCATTTTCATGCACCTGCCGTAAGCATTTTACTAATCATCGAGCTGTGTAACTCTAAGAAATGCAAGGTATACAAGTAATTCCTAAGAAATTGAGTTATATGATATTGTAAATGGTTTTGAATATGTACACATGCAACTGTATCGCTTGCACAGAGCTTCTTCATGGCTTTCATATAACATTTTTACCGCTATTTGTATATCTATATATGTATATCTATATCTTTATATATATTTGTATATATATTTATACACACACACACACACACACACACACACACACACACACACACACACACACACACACACACACACATATATATATATATATATATATATATATATATATATATATATATATATATTCATATATGTATAGATAAATAGATACTTTGCAGATTTACTAGTCCTTAGTTGACAAAGTATGAAATATACTTCATTCATTCTGACCCCAAACTTCTTATCTAGGATTTTATTTAAAGCAGGGGTCTCAAACTCGCGGCCCGCGGGCCAAATGCGGCCCCCGGGACGATAATTTGCGGCCCGTCTTGATATTAAAAATTAATGTTAGTGCGGCCCGCAAGACTGATATGAATAAAACGAACCAATCACGGTGGGGTAAAAGGCTCTGAAGGGTGGTACATCGGCCATGCTGTCCAGTGCCTCGCTCACTCACTCATTCATTCCTCCAGTCAGCTGGGCGGAAGAGAAGCCGTGAAGCCGCTGACTCCGCTCAGCGGCTACAGTCCTCCGTTGCTCTCAGTTCAGAAGTGAAGAAGGCACTGTGATCTATTATCCAGCGTTTGCCGTGTCTGTTAATACAGACATTTGAGAATGAATCAAAATAATTAGTTTTCTCTGGTTAGCCAGTCAGTCAGTCAGTCAACATGTGGTTTCTTCAGTCGTCTGTATCTGCTGTATGATCATTATTATTTTATTTATTTATTACTGGTTGATT